TTCAATTAAAAAAATATTAATGTTATATTATTCTTCAAATCCTTAGTCTTTTGAGATGATGAAATTCAATCCTTGAGACAAATTTATTTGTTCAGCCCATGTCTTCTTTGCTTCAATTCAAATCCTTCACTTTCCAAAGTATGAAATTTGATCTCCAAACTTTGCATACAACAGTCAATTTAGTCCCCGTACTTTGAATTTTGCCATTTTTTTCTATTTTGCATTATTTTCTCCAATTTTTCATCAAACACAAAGTTTTACCTACAAAATGCAATATAACATAAATTAGGCAGAATTTTATCCAAAAGACAATAAAATATCATCTAAGGCCTCGAATAAGTGTAGAAACTACACTTATCATTGGTCTTCTGTTGAGATGGAGAATTTTTAGGCCTTGTTTGATTGCCACATTTTTCATGGCAAATGTCACATTCGAGGAAAACGAATTTCACTTTGACCATTTAATTGCAACGTGGAAATGGAAATCGAATTCCAAGGTATAACCACTTTAAGCTGCATTTTCTTCGTTTTCATGGAAAACGAATTCCTATGGGTTTGGTGAGTTTTTATTTTTCAACTAATATAAATCGGAATTCATTTTCACATTTGCCTATCAAACGGACCCTTACTGTTATTAGAGAAACAATAATAGCGATAGAAAAAATTAAGAAGATACCCATATAAGTATAATGGATAACAAAGAGTTTAGGTTGTGCTGATCTGATGTCTCATTTTCTTACCTGTGTGGGATGTAGACAAAAATACTAATTACTTGGATTATTTTGAAATATAACGTAAAAATTTAAATATATATTGTTTTTTAAAAATCTTTGACACTATAAATTTATTTTTGGGTTAATTGGTATAATTTTTATTTGACACTATAAAAATTTATTGTTTTATATAGCTTAATAATTCCTTAAACACTTGTAAGGAAAGGCTGATTATGTCTTTAGTTGGATTAGGACTGTTTGTGTGGGATTTAAAAACGCAGTTGAATAGTTTTGATTGTCTGGTTGATTTTGTAGAATAAACATTATGGGTCATGATGTTCATACCGGTCTTATTAATCTTTTTCTTGATTGTTTATTGTGTACATACAAGTTTGGATTGTTTGGAGCATTTCATATTTGTTCTTATTTACGATCAAATAACTCTTTACACCTCAAAGACATTAACTAAATTCACTTAGCAAACTACTGCAATTTCGTTAGAAGCTCTGCTATATTCAAATATTCTAAACTTGTTCGATAGATTTCTTGGTTCTATCCGTCGACGTGTAAATGCATCCTAGGCACCCCTGGTACTCCTAATGTTGCACAAACTTGAGTGATGTGACCGATTTTGGCTTCATCATCCCACCCAGATCACGATGCCCAAAAAAAAAACACAAAAACAAAAAAACAAAAAACGGCAATTCTATTCAGGATTCATCATTGATTACCTAATTAACATGTGATGAGAAGAACCATCCCATCATGGAACGATGTTCATCGAGTCAACATGCACATCAAAAGGTCCCCTAATCCCCAACCCGCACAGTCCCACAGCCACCCCCCTTGGGGTATAAATACGAAAATATGCTGCGCAGTAACAGTGCTTGAGGGTCCCTCTGTTAGTGGGGGTGGTTTTATTTTTTGTTATTTCAATTTCCTCTTTATGCTGAAACTTTTATTTACTACTCCATGGCATGATCAAACATGTATAGCCAGAATCTTGACCACAATGGCGCCCCTAGAATCTCCTTCTCTAATGACTTTGTAGAGTCCAGTAGCCATATTCTTAATCTCAGAGGCAATTGATTACACAGGATAGGGTGTACAGGGATGAACCAGTAGTTTCTTCTGACTTCGAATTCTCTGTGACAAATTATTCCACGATAAGTAGTGCTGATGAGATATTCTTCAAGGGCAGACTCTTCCCATTCAAAGAAAGTCGCAGCAAAACCGCCACTCTTAGAGATGAACTACAAAATGATTATGATTGTAATTTTTCACATAGGCCTGCCAAGAATCCCACTAGGTGGAAAAATTTTATTATAGGCCTAAGAAAGTCTCATTTTGGGTCCAAGAAATCTGTAGAAAAGAGGCCAGTGTTTGATCAGGAGGAATTTCAATGCTGTTAGACAAATTGTTGTCAAACGACCTCCCCCGAGCGATGATGAAATACATTGTTTAAATTCAGTCGTCATAGTAAAAATGACTGAAAGTAAATCGAACACCACAATTGGTAAACCAACCCTAAACCGACA